CTTGCGCGCATGGTCCAAAATCCTTTTCGAGCTCGAGGCCCTGGCCCCCTGATTTCTGCAACTCCCGGCCCCGCACTCCCTTTGTCTTGCGCAAACCTTTTCGAGGCCCAACTGCCCGCTCGCTGATTTTCAAATTCCTTGTCGGATTCTGACCCACTGGCCTCCCTGATTTGCCAAAACAGCTTTTACGAACTCCAACTCCTATGCGGCTACAAGGCATCCAACGAATGAAAACAACCAAATGTTGCCAGGCAAACGCGCGATGTGTGCAAAACGTTTGCTCATTGTTGCAATAGATTGCGCGGAAAACACTACCAAAACATATGAAAAACACGAAAACATATAATTTTTGGTGCTAAACATCAGCAAATGTTCTACACAAAAAGTACGACACACCCAAATTACGACACAACAATTACTGCACAAAAATTACTACACAAAAAAATACACAGCCAAAAATGTAATTTTAGCCAACTTACTACAAAAAATGTGTGTAAAATTCTGAAAATTACTGCACAAAATTACTACACACAATTGCTACACAAATTCCACTACACAAAGTTTACTACCCAAAAATGCTGTATTTTTTGTGTAGTAAAGAAATATATTATCCTATTTTAATCCTTCAGGTGGAGATGGTGTTCGTAGCAGGCGCAGTATTTGCTGTGTTCGTGTAGCAGGGGCAACATATGGCAGCTGTCTAAAGGGACTGGATGTTGTTGAGCGCGCGGCCCCGGTGGCTCCATCTGCGGGACAGGCGCAGCACTTTGGAGATGGTGCATAGATTTCGTGGCAGGCGCAGTTTGTTCGGCAGCTGGACGTGTGTTCGCGTTGAAGGGGCAACACATGGCACCTGTCCAAAAGGACTGGATGTTGTCGAGAACGCGGCCGGGAACTCAACCTGCGTGACAGGCGCAGCACGATGGTGCAAGATTTCGTGGCAGGCGCAGTATTTTCTGCATCTGGGCAGGCGCAACGCTCGGCAGCTGGCTAAAGGAACTGGATGTTGTCGAGCGCGCGACCAGGGGTTCACTCACTCGCATATAGTCTGCTGCTCACTCGCGTACTTACACTCTTTTACACTCCACTCACTCATGCGCTTGTTGTCAAATTCACTCGCTCTCACTCACTCGTATATAGACTGCTACTCACTCGCGTACTCACACTCTTACACTCCACTCACTCATGCACTTGTGTTGTCACACTCACTGACTCTCACATATATTCCGCTGCTCACTCGCGTAGTCACACTCTTACACTTCACTCACTCATGCGCTTGTGTTGTGACACTCACTGACTCTCACTCACTCGCATATATTCCGCTGCTCACTCACGTAGTCACACTCTTACACTTCACTCACGCAGTTGTGTTGTCAGGAATGGGGACTGTTCACTCCGTGTACCACCGCTGGCGACTCACGACAAGCTGGCCCTTCTTTGTTTTTGTCTCTTTGTAGTCTTACCTGACCCGCGCTCCCACATCTGTAAGGAAACTCAAAAGCCAAACAAACTTTGAAAAACAGAAACAACAAGACAAACAAATAAAGGACCGGATAACCCCACATGTCTATGCTTATGAAGATGGCCACACTTACATCGATTGAGGATCGCAGGTTGTAAAAGCAACCTGACATAGACAGTCAGTCAGCAGCCAGATGCCTTTTTTTGCATGCGCCAAGCTCTTCTGGTAAAAGCACCTCCCCAATAGTGGGTCGCGCGCAAGCAGCCTGTCTTCGAACGTCACGCTTGCAGCTGCGTGTGATCGCGGCAATACCAATAAGCATCGCTCGAAAGTGTCCAGCCACAAAGCTTGAGTTGTCTATGTGACTCCCACCAAAAGAGCACTTTGGCCGACATTCTGTACTCACAGGAGCGACAGCAAACAGTGACTCGCCACCCATCTGGGAGTTCGGACCACTCCAAGGAGCCAGGGGAACCACTCCCAGGAGCCAGGTCGGGTTGAGCCCGTTGGCCGCGCTTCAGCCAAGCGCGCGCGGTCAGCTCGCCCTCAATCTGTTCTTTCAACCACGTCACCTACCTTCGTTCCACCAATGTTTGAAACAGCGTGTCCCTGGCTTTGCTGCCCCCTTGCCGCTGGCATAGCGGGCCTCTCCTCTTGCAAATCTTGCTGCCTGGAGCTGGCTGCTGCTGACATCGTTGCGTGTGCTGCTACCAATGCTGCTAGCCCCTCGCTGCACGCGTTCTGCAATTGAGACAAATCAACGTCCTGTTCCTTTTGCTGATTTCAAATTTCCAAACTAAACTTGACACATGCTGCAAGCCCTGAATAAGAACGCCTGTCGGGCTGAATGCAGAATTTGAAACATGAGCGAATCTCTCAATCAAATGGCTGCGGCAAGCGCGAAATATGATTGATGCCATATCCTTCCCACTTGCAACTCCAATGTCAAGGATGAAAATTGCCTGGCACAGTTTAAAAAACATAGGCATGCGCCAGAACGCAAGCCCAGGTGCACGAAGTACTGCGCCTGCATATCCTTCCCACTTGCAACTCCAATCTCAAGGATGAAATGAAAATTACCTGACACGCATTAAAAAAACAAAGGCATGCACCTGAACGCAAGCCCAGGTGCACGAAGTACTGCGCCTGCCACGACTTCAGCACTTGCATCTCCAAAGTGCTGGCGAGATGGGGGCCAACAGCCGCGCGCGCGACACCACCTCAGCCCTTTAGACAGCTCCCAAATGCTGCCCCTGCCACGCAAACGCAAGCCCAGGTGCACGAAGTACTGCGCCTGCCACGATTTCACGCTTGCATCTCCAAAGTGCTGCGAGTGCCACGCAAGATGGGGCCCACAGCCGCGCGTGCGACAACACCCCAGCCCTTTAGACAGCTTCCAAATGCTGCCCCTGCCACGCAAACGCAAGCCCAGGTCCACGAAGTACTGCGCCTGCCACGATTTCAGCACTTGCACTTCCAAAGCGCTGTGCCTGCCACGGGAGATGGGGGCCCACAGCCGCGCGCGCCACAACATCCCAGCCCTTTAGACAGCTCCCAAACGCGGCCCTGTGACGCAAACGCAAGCCCAGGTGCACGAAGTACTGCGCCTGCCACGATTTCAGCACTTGCCTGTCCAAAGTGCTGCAAATGCCACGCAAGATGGGGGCCCACAGCCGCGCGCGCGACAACACCCCAGCCCTTTAGACAGCTCCCAAACGCTGCCCCTGCCACGCAAACGCACGCCCAGGTGCGCGAAGTACTGTGCCTGCCACGACTTCAGCACTTGCATCTCCAAAGTGCTGCGCCTGTCACGCGAGATGGGGGCCGACAGCCGCGCGCGCAACAACACCCCAGCCCTTTAAACAGCTCCCAAATGCTGCCCCTGGCACACACAAGCAATCCCAGGTCCACGAAGTACTGCGCCTGCCACGATTTCAGCACTTGCCTGTCCAAAGTGCTGCGCCTGCCACGCGAGATGGGAGCCCACAGCCGCGCGTGCGACAACACCCCAGCTCTTTAAACAGCTCCCAAACGCTGCCCCTGCCACGCCAACGCAAGCCCAGGTCCACGAAGTACTGCGCCTGCCACGCTTTCAGCACTTGCATCTCCAAAATCCTGCGCCTGCCACGCGAGATGGGGGCCCACAGCCGCGCCCGCGACAACACCCCAGCCCTTTAAACAGCTCCCAAATGCTGCCCCTGCCACGCAAACGCAAGGCCAGGTGCACGAACTACTGCGCCTGCCACGCTTTCAGCACTTGCATCTCCAAAGTCCTGCGCCTGCCACGCGAGATGGGGGCCCACAGCATGGAGATGCAAGTGCTGCGTTTGTGTGGCAGGGGCAGCATTTCGGTACTTCGTGCACCTGGGCTTGCGTTTCCCTTGGCAGGGGCAGCGTTTGGGAGCTTTCTAAAGGGCTGGGATGTTGTGGCGCGCGCGGCAGTGTGTGAGTGAGTGTGTGTGAGTGAGTGTGTGTGAGTGAGTGTGTGTGAGTGAGTGTGTGTGAGTGAGTGTGTGAGAGTGAGTGAGTGTGTGTGTGTGTGATCGGGTGTGTGTGAGTGAGTGTGTGTGCGTGAGTGTGTGTGAGTGAGTGTGTGTGAGTGAGTGTGTGTGTGTGTGAGTGAGTGTGTGTGAGTGAGTGAGTGTGTGTGTGTGAGCGGGTGTGTGTGTGAGTGAGTGTGTGTGCGTGAGTGTGTGTGAGTGAGTGTGTGTGAGTGAGTGCTTGTGAGCGGGTGTGACTTTGTGCGGGTGAGTGAGTGAGTGAGTGTGAGTGAGTGTGAGTGAGTGTGAGTGAGTGTGAGTGAGTGAGTGTGTGTGAGTGAGTGTGTGTGAGTGAGTGTGTGTGAGTGAGTGTGTGTGTGAGTGAGTGAGTGTGAGTGAGTGAGTGTGTGTGAGTCAGTGTGTGTGAGTGAGTGTGTGTGAGTGAGTGTGTGTGAGTGAGTGAGAGCGACGGCGAGTGAGTGAGTGTGTGTGACTGAGTTTGTGTGAGTCAGTGTGTGCGAGTGAGTGTGTGTGAGTGAGTGTGTGTGAGTGAGTGAGAGCGATGGGGCGGCGGGAGTCGGGCGCGCAGCGGTAAAAGTAAGAACCCCGCACAAAGATGTGGGGAACAAAGCCCTGAGGCAAATGTCTGAGTTGGGCCAGGATGTTTTGTCCGGCTTTTTGCTTTGTTTTAGGTGTTCTTCGGGTTTTATTTGGGTTTAACTCTCGTTGTTTTTGTTTTTTCTTTCTTTCCTTGACAGAGACTCTGTATTGTCTTCCTGCTTTTGTCACCTGACCATCCTGGGCTGGCCACTTAGTGGCACTCCTGTTGTGCAGTCTTGTGGGCATATGCAGCGCGATCCCCCGAGCTGTGCAACAAAGAGCTTCAAGTAGGCGACTATTAAAAATATTACGTTTTTACGTAAAACGCAGCGCGACTGGCCCCCCTTTTTTGGAAAAGAAATGGCTTTTCCACCAAACCCAGAAAAGGACTAACAATATATTCTGCAGGGGCTTGCTGCTACCTCTCTCTCCCCCTCCTTTTCTGTTGGAACACCAAGGAGGAGCTGAAGACGATCTTTTCCAGATCCCACAAGCCACCATGCCTGAGTGGAGGTTGTACGGCCTGCCTGGCGCTTGCCCCGCCCATCGAGCCGATCCAGTTCAAGGCAACTATCGGGTTCCAGGCCACCTGCACCTCCAATCATGCAATGCCTCTCGGTTCTGAAGCAACTTACTCCCCGAGTTCCTGGACTTTATGTTTGTAGCAGTAAACAGCAAGTTGTTGTTTTTCGCCAATCCACTCAGGTGCTGAGTACGTCGGCCATTTTGGGGCACCTTTCAAAATAGGACAGGAATGGGGTGCCCTACACTGCGACTTTTTGTGAGGTGTCGTTCTAAGCGAATTCACCTGGAGTGGGCGAAATATGACACAGAGTCCGAAAAGTACTTCTGTGTGCTGTAGGCCAAGTTTGAGACTTCGAGCCCACACGAACAGTTGAGATCCTTGGCCTCGGCAAACCAAACATCAAAAAGATCACCAAACCACAAAGGTAGAACATGTCGTTGTCATCGTCGTCGTGGCTGCTGTTGTTGTTAGTTGTTGTTGTTGGTTGCTGTTGATGTTGTTGCTGCTGCTGTTGTTGTTGTTGTTGCTGCTGCTGCTGCTGCGGTTGTTGTTGTTGTTGTTGTTGTTGTTGTTGTTGTTGTTGTTGTTGTTGTTGTTGTTGTTGTTGTTGTTGTTGTTGTTGTTGTTGTTGTTGTCGTCGTCGTCGTCGTCGTCGTCGTCGTCGTCGTCGTCGTCGTCGTCGTGGTGGTGCTGTTGTGCTGTTGTTGCTGTTGTTGTTGTTGTGGTTGTGGTTGTGTTGTTGTTGTTGTTGTTGTTGTTGTTGTTGTTGTTGTTGTTGTTGGTTGTTGGTTGTTGGTTGTGGTTGTGTGTTGTTGTTGTTGTTGTTGTTGTTGTTGTTGTTGTTGTTGTTGTTGTTGTTGTTGTTGTTGTTGTTGTTGTTGTTGTTGTTGTTGTTGTTGTTGCTACCGGCGCTGTTCACGACCCCATGCTTTGTTGCCACTTGCATCGTTTCTGGGAGGATATTTGCATCGTTTGTTGGAGGATTTTTGCGCCGGGAGCGAGTTCGGGGGGGGGGGGTGGTGGGGGGGGGAGATGCTAACGTTCCCATGTCAGCCTCGCACATAGACATACACGCCGTGCACACAGGTGAAGATCGTCGTTTGGCACTGAGGCACGCGCGCACAGACATACACATTCCAGAATAAATACTTTGAGTCCATGGCGAAAGCGCAGTAGAGGGCATGCGGAACTGCGTCTCATGGAGGATGATGTGGCTGGACCAAGCATGGATTTGATTTCTCTTTTGAGCCCTCTTCGCCATGTCATAATTTTGCGCTTAAGTGTGTGGAAGTTGCAAAGTTCTGGGAGCAGCAGTTTCCCGTGACGGAACTGGATGATTGCCATAGTGTGCTTTGCGAATGTTTCCCGAACGATCCTGCGGCAGAGTATGTGCAACACCTAGTATTCAGAGTGCCTGGGCAACGTGCTGGTCAGCTGCCTTGGGGTGACTTGCGCTTGCACAGCCGCAGGCTGGCTGAGGCCGCGGAGTGCGTTCTGCAACAGCCTTCACTCGCAGTGGCAGCTGCGCAGCTTGTGCTTACCTCTAGAGAGGCAAAGCGTTTGGGCGTCCAATTCCTGCAGTTGCAGCAGGAGCCACAGCAACTGCTAGAGCAGCCGCCTGGTAGTCAGCTGGAAGTGCAGCTGCGGCAACAGCCTTTGGTCTCGCGCCGCTGGCGGCGAGGAGTGCTGGAGCCCGAGGCAGGCGTCGAGGTGGAGATGGATGTGCGAGATGTGGATTTCAATGATTTGTCTTATTTGCCATTGTATTTCAATGAGTGGGAAGCCTGGCGAGGAGATGCTTCGGTACAAGGCATGGCCTGCGACATTCCTGGCTGGTGTCGCGCTATCTTTGAGAATGGTTTCTGCTGGACAGCTGCGCGTATCATTGCTTTGCAGCATTCACTGATGGACATCCAAAGGTTGGAGTCCGCGCCTTCAGCTGCTCCGGCGTACTTCTCCCACGCCCCTGGGCCGGCTGCTGCTCGACGGCCGGCGAAGCTTCGACAGCAGAAGCCGGATGTGCGGCTCCTGGATGTGGCAGAGCTTTTCAGCCCATTTTGGGCAAGCGGGGGCCGTTTTTGAAATGCCCGCGGAACCGATCTGTGGGTGTGTCACACATGAGACAGCACTGCAATATTGCGTAAACTGAGGGCTGCACAGAAGCTGGACAGATGCAGAAGGGGTGAGCTGTGCTCGTTGCTTGCTTTCCATGGAGTGATGGGTGAGCCATGTCCTCCAAGAAGAGTCTCATCGATGTGCCAGGGCGGGTCATCCGGCTGCAGAATTCCATCCAGCCAAATTCTGCTGTTCTGCTAATCCGGCCTAATTCTGCTCTCGAACCGCATTCCGGCCAGATTCTGCTGCCTGATCTGGGCTGGCGTAAAGACCTCAAGCCCACGCAGGGCTGTTTGGAGCGTGCAAACAAGCAGCTCATAGCGCCAGTTGCCCAAAGTCTGATGTCTATTGAGTATGGTGAGCGTCGCTTGCCTGCGCAGCGTTGGTAGAGCTTGCGTGAGAAAATGCTGCCTGCGCTGTCATGTCTCCTCTGGCCTTGCAGCCATTGCTAGAATAACTCCAGCGTCTCGTGACCTAACCCTAAATACGCCAATTCGTTTGGCTCAAGTTTGGTTGAAGGCAGCACGCCACCCTAGTTTGCTGAGCGCACTCCCTTGCTATTTACACACCAGGCGCAGCGATTCATGGAGGACATCGCGTCAGGAATAGATCCTGAGACATCAGACGCACATATACACATATATGTATGTATGTATATATGTATATGTGTTTGCTTATGTTTATTTTTCCGCACGTTGTTTGTGTTTTAGGTTGTCACCCATTGGCTTTACACGGGTCTCCTTCCCTCTTTCACTAGGGTTCCGTATTTTTCAACCAGCTCCCATCTTTCAATTGACGCACGAAGAGCTGCAATTGGAACCAAAAGAAGGGTGGAACTCGCAAGGTGCATTTTTGCACAGTCCAATCGAACTAATGTGGCGCCCATGATTTTCATGGGCCAAAAGTCATTTCTGTGTGGCCTTTCTGATGTTTCTTAGGTCTGTGTGATTGTGGGGAACTGCTGATTTTGGGGAACTCCCATTTGGGTGTGGATTTTTTGAATAGGGAACAGAGTTCGGTGGGGATGGGAGATATGTCCAACCGCTTTTGAGATGGTTTGCAATCGGGCGCTGAGCTCCAAGGCTCTCTGTCGTTTGGCTCAAAACTTTGCGTGTGTGCGGCACGCTAACCCTAAAACTGCCAAAGCCTCCACCCTAGAAAATGCAAATTCTGGCTTTGGGCAATTGAATTGGAGCTAGGGCTATGCGCGCATAGTGACAAGCAGGGATCAAAACACAAATCAAGACTTCAGCTTTCAAATCACGTGCGCAATTGTGGGCAGCTGTGGGCCGCGGATCGAGCTGCACTGGAAGCAATGCCTACAACCCGAACCAGCAACTGGACTTGACACATTTCCATTGTTGAACATCATATTTAACAAGTGCATGGGTCTTCGCAAACTCGTTTGGCTTTTACCGCAAACTCAAACTGGGTTCGCAACTGGGTTTGCCTGTGCAAGGTACAGCTTCCGCTGCAAAGCGCAAATCAATGCAGACTGAGCCTTGGCTTTTTCATTTACAGCCAAATGTGGCTTCTGAATTAGAGGCCCTTTGCTGGACACAATTTCGGTGATGATCTGGCGGGGCTCATAACCACCATTTACGTTTGATGATTCCGAGTCGGAACAACAAGTAGCCAATATTTTGCTTGGTCGCATTAAGGAACAGAAGGATCAACGCGAGGAATCCGACCACGAAAGCTCCGAGGCTGGTCTTCAATGAAGGGTTGCCTGCTTTTTTTGGAGGGCGTTGAACTGTGGTGTTGCCCTCAAACCCTTTGGGAAGCAAAGGGGTTCATCGGAAATCCCACCGGCGGCGGCGCTTTTTGCAGGTTGATTTTGACGTCACCAAGCGCACGGATATGCAACGGCCAGCAGCTCCGGCCACCTCCCGCTGTTGTTTGCTCTCGGGACGGCTTTGCAAGCCCAGAAAAAATACAGTGGAGGGTTATAGTAGGGCCCCAAAGCAATAGTTTTCCTTTTGGTTGTTCAGTCGTCTTTTTGAGTCGGGCCCGAAAAATCTGCGGTTCCTGTGGGAAGATTTGAAATCTGGGTGGGTTCCGGATTTGAAACATTCCCACATGCCTTGCGCAATTGATTGCATTGTTTGTTTGGGTTTGGTTTTTGGGTTTGTGTCCATCTTGTGAACACGAAAAAGCGGGTGTCAGATTTCGGGGTGCCCCGCTTTAGCCAGAACCACTGGCAGGAAGAAGTTGTAAAACATTGTCACCGCACTAAGCCCTGAAGAACACCTTGTTCGTTGCTGCCAGCCCAGGAAAGCTTTACTATTGATGTGAACGAGTGGGAGGACATGAAGGGCGAGCCTGATTTCAACATCTACATGGCATGCCTTAGTGGGCAGCACACTTGCATTCATCCTTTGGAACAAAGCGACTTGAAGGCAACCATGAAAAAGGAGGCGAAGGAGACCCACGAAAAGCGCTCGAAAAGGAGTCACGCATAAGCGCCTTGGCACTGTGCCCCAGTCACACCCAGTTCGGATCCCAGCACAAGCGACACCCCAAGTACACTCCACACACGTTCGCTCCAAACACACTCCAAACTACACTCCAAGTACACTCCAAGTACACTCCAAGTACACTCCAAGTACACTCCAAGCACACTTCTCCAGGTACACTCAAGTACACTAAAGTACACTCTAAGGGGGCTTGGGAGGAAGCTCGTCCAATACATTTTCAAGCCTACACCTGTCCCACAACGCTATTCAGGTACACTAAAGTACACTCCAAACACACACCAAAATCGAAGAATGTCAGGCGCACTCTGAGCGCACTACTAGTGTTCTCCAACCCCACACGCCCCAAGACCAACACCCAAGTTGAATTCCAACAGCGTTCAAAGTGTGTCTTTTTCAGAGACCCCCAATCAAGTGAATCGTGAGCTCGGCGTGTGTCTATTGTTGCCTGGGTGTCACCGCACGCTCTCTGTTTGACACAAAATTGGTTTGGTG